TAATATATATACATTGTAAATAATATCTAGAGAATAAATAGGGGTTTTTTTTAAAATAAAAATAAAAATCTTGTCTTGTCTTGTACATGACGATTACCCTTTATCTTACCAAAGGAAGGAACAAGCAATTTGGGAGTTGGGAGATGGAACTAGGAGAGTTGAGATTTGAGAGTCGGGGAGAGCTCCTATGAATAATAATGATTGACTTTGTTTTGCGAAGATGCAACACGTTTTGCCGGACTGGTCAACCAAACCAGTTCAATGGCTTCCTCTGCTGATCTTATTACAGGTACGTTACAGTACATCTCGTAATTTTTCCCCAGATTGCCTTTTTCTTCTCCGCTCTTCAGTTTCTTGCAGGCTTCAGTTTTTGCATCTATTGTAGTGGGTCTGTTTCATAGATCTCGTAACCTTTTCATTTTGTTCAAGTGAAGGGTACCCTGTTCTTATCTTCCTTTCAAAGTTCAAATCTGAGATTTATACCAAAGATTGTATTTTGTCAAGTGGGTTAGCATCTGTTTATCAATTTCTGTTTATTATCTGTGGTTCCTGTTCATTGTTGAAGGCTTTTTGGAGGTTATGGAATCTTTTGCCTCGAATGCTTGCACTTTCTAGATTCCTTGCTTCCTTATCTCTGTTGACAACAAATTTTAGCTATGATAACTGAAAAAGTTGGATATTATGATGCTTTGTATGTAGGTTTAAATTTTTGGAATTTGGGATTGGAAATTAGCGCAAAGAGGGTTGTTTCTTTACAGCAGTGTTGATTGAGAGTTCAATTTTGATGCAATAATGGCTTCAAGTGATAAAGGGAATCCAGAAGAGGAAGTTGAGGAATGTAATGGTTCAAAAGCTAAGGGGCATGTTCCTCTTGACCTTTCAACGTCTCAAAGGACGCTACTGAGCAATGAAAACCCTCAGAGAAAGTCCCCCAGCCGCTTGGCTGCTATTCAAAAGAGGATGAATTTCCTCAAATTTCGTTCTCCATCTGCCAGATTCAGGCTGTTAGCTCAGGAAAGAGATGAGGCTTCACGTTCAGTGTCAGCTTCTTCAAGTGGTCATCATGGTATTCGAGATCGGCTGAATGAGGTTTTTCATAGGAAGATTGATTGGGATTCTCTCTTGAAAATCGGCAAACAATGGATTAGGGACCCCATGAATATGGCTCTTTTTCTTTGGATTCTGTGTGTGGCTATCTCAGGTGCAATTCTGTTTCTTGTCATGACTGGAATGTTAAATGCTGTGATTCCTGACAAGGCCCAGAGAGATGCCTGGTTTGAGGTTAACAACCAGATTCTTAATGCACTGTTTACTCTTATGTGTCTATACCATCATCCAAAGCGATTTTACCATCTCGTACTTCTTTGTAGATGGAGACCAGAGGACATTTCTAAACTCAGAAAGGTATATTGCAAGAATGGGACTTATAAGCCTCATGAGTGGGCACACATGATGGTTGTTGTTTTGCTACTTCATGTGAATTGTTTTGCTCAGTATGCACTTTGTGGCCTGAATTTGGGGTACAAAAGATCTAAGCGACCTGCGATTGGAGTTGGAATATGTATAGCTGTTGCAATAGCTGCACCTGCAATAGCTGGTGTTTATACCGTTCTTAGCCCCCTTGGGAAGGATTATCATAATGGAGTGGATGAGGAAGCACAGGTTCAACGTACCCCTGATCAAGGTAGAAGGACCGACCAGTTAAGACAGAAATCACTGGAGAAGAGATATTCATTTACATCCAGAGATGAGAATCATGAGATAGTGGAGAGCAGTCCGAGGTGGAGTGGAGGTATACTTGACTTCTGGGATGATATTTCTTTGGCATATCTTTCTCTTTTTTGTAGTTTTTGTGTCTTTGGGTGGAACATGGAGAGACTTGGGTTTGGAAACATGTTTGTTCACATAGCAACCTTTATCCTGTTTTGTGTGGCTCCTTTCTGGATATTCATCTTGGCCTCTGTTAATATTGATAATGACACTGTAAGGGAGGCTCTTGGAGTTACTGGAGTCATTCTTTGTTTGTTTGGCCTGTTATATGGTGGCTTCTGGAGGATACAGATGAGGAAGAGATTCAATTTGCCTGCCTATAACTTCTGTTTTGGCCAACCAGCTGCTAGTGATTGCACACTGTGGCTATTCTGTTGTTGGTGTTCCCTTGCACAGGAAGCACGGACTGGGAATTTTTATGCTATCACAGAAGATAAGTCCTTGAGAAAAAAAAAGCACAATAGTCACCAGCCAACAATGTCCCCTTTACCCCGTGAAGATGGGGTGGTTGAGTATAGATCTGGCCCAAGTTCTCCACCTGGGTACGACTCTAGCCCAGCCAAGACTTTCTTTGATAGTTCTTCAAGTCCTAGACGAGTTTCAAATGAACACTCTTGTCCAGAAAGGAAACTGTCTATGGTGAAAGAAGAGTCTCCTACAAGAGGTAAAGACGAAACTATGATCCCACCTGCTCCAGCAACCATACGGAGAGAATCAATTTAGCTGAGGAAAAGCTTTTATGTATTTATTGTTTTTTCCTTATTAATTAATGTGCAATATTTCATATGGTTTTTTTTTTTTTACTATTTTTATTATTTTTTATGTAACTTCAATATACTTTTGAGTGCAATAGAAAAATGCATCAAATAATTCATGTTCGCTTCTCCCTCTTTGCTTGCCCCCATTCCCCACGACCTCCTCACCTAGTCCCGTTCTTTAATTATTTTTAGATGGATACAAATTAAAGCATGCTCAGGAGTCCAAAATTGGCCTTAGGAGGATATCTTGTCTTTCTTTTAGTAGCTTAACTTTTGAAATGATGATTGCAAAATTTTAATATTTGTTAAAATTGAAGTTATATTTGTACCAGTAGTATAACTTGAGCAGTTATTAGTGTAAAGTATAAATCTTTCACTATATATATGTCCTAATGATGGAAATTTCTAAGTTTGAACAAGAAAACCTCTGCATCTTTTTGTTTTCCCAAGTTTGACACTTTAGTTGGAAGTTTCTCTCTTCTATTTTTACACAGGTTGGTTTCTGGAAGAAACTTGGTTGACCTGCTTGTAGAATTTGTTAATGATTTTTTCATGGGCTTTTTGCAACTTTAAGAAAATGTTCTTTTTAACTATAAATGAGTAATTCTAAAGTGATTTAGGAATTTAGCAGAAGTTATATAGAGTGACTTCTCTTTATTAATACCATGAAAAGATGGTTTTAAATTAATGCTGAGGACTTAATGGAAGTAAAGCAGAAATAAGTGTTTTTGTAGTTCAGTTCTGTCATACACGCTAATTATCTATTGGGACAACATTTAGTGCCATGAAAAATAGGAGTTCAGGTTGTAAGAGAACTTCTGCAGCTGACATCAATTCTAGACACAAGTACCTCTCTGAATGCAGATGGAATTGAATTTGTTAGGCAAACTGCAGGTGATTTGCTTAAATCTGTTGAGTGAAAATGTTCTGTTTGAATCTACAATGCATGATTTATCATAGCAAATTTTACAGTTGCTCTATAAGCCCTATATTAGATTGTTAGCCAGATGCTGTGGCCAGAAGTCCTCTTTGTGCGCAGGCAGAAACCGTTCCATATATGAAATTTCAATACCTGTATTTTGTTTTCTTTTTTTAATTTTATTTTGTTCTGAATTTAATATTTTAGCCTGATTTAATGCCTGGTTGGGTGGTCAGTCACCTTAAATCATACCTGCATCAAAGACGATCTGCTTGTTTTTGCAACTTTTTTGTTTGTCCTGCCATTAAGTTGTAGCTTGCATGGTAGAACTTTTGAGTTAAAAAAATTGGTTTTTCTTGAAATTTTGGTTATGAACTGTTTTTACCCCGATAATATGATCTGCAGCTTACAGTGACTGGGAGTTTTAGGTAACTGCATTTGTATGTCCCTTTTTCTTCATTTCCTTCTTTATTTATATTCTAATCTGTACATAGCAATTCTTGTTCTGTTCTGAACCTGTGTGCCACTGACATTGAAGTCTTCATTACTGACGTAAGAATTTCTCCCTCTATATTTCCTGCTCTGGGACATTTTATTTCAACTTTATCATTGCTTCACACGTATGAAAGCACCACACACACACACAGAGTCCTGAAATCCTGTTGAGGGATACTCCTTTTCCTCCATAGTGGAGTAGGTTTTCGATTGGATAATGACATGAGCCTTAATTGTTTGTGGATTATGGTGGTATTAGTTTCTACTGGTTTCAAATTCATACAAGGTTGAAACTTTGCATTTGGTAGACACTGTTAGTGTCTACGTAGACATTTAGGATAATGACATGCCGACTTTAGGTATTGATTGATCATTTGCCCACGTAGACATAGGTCATGAACTTTTCATTGGGTAGACACTGTAAGTGTGCTGGACTTCCAAAATAAACAAAAACTCTATCCACAATGTAAAGTAGATGCGTCAGACACTTAATTCCTAGTCCACATAACATAGGATTGAGGCATACTCTCCCTCTAGACATTAACTGCCCATAGAAGTGATACCATAGCAAATTTGTTTTCATCTGATGGTACTCATCAGTCCAGATAATACGCGTTTAACTTTAGTTGGTTTAGTGTCCAATTCATTTCATGTCATGGCACTTAAACATCTGTCATCAAAAGATGTTTAATTTTATCCATGAATTAAATACTACTTCTCTTAGAAAACCTTTCTACTAATGGAAACTATGGACAAGCACCTAAGTAGGGTATATTTTTGATTGTTTGAAATAAATACTATTTTATTTGATCCATTCCATGATGAGTTAAAATAATTAGGTTCAATAACTTATATTCAGCTTTTGGCTCTTGTTCCTCTGTCTCTCTTAGGAAAAGGGGACATTTGACAAAGAACTTGCATTAAATTAGATGAAAGTGTATACTTTTCCTATTATTTAGTGGATTTAATGGATCTTAGATGAAAGTTCCTGCAAAGCAGACAATGGACAGTGTAGTGTAGTAGTTTGGTTGCATGTATTGACATCACGGATCGGTAAAGAGTATATCATATCTGAAATTTGATTTGATGATGGAGGAAACAGATATGCAACTAACCAAGAATCTTCATGCTTCACGCTTCTTGCTTCATTGCCCCTCCCACCCCAAACCCTAAGCTACCAATTTGAGGTAAGGAGTAGCTACTAATTCTAATTCTAGAAGAAAAAAAAAAGGAGATTTGAACTTAATATGCATCAAATCATCTTTTCTCTTTGAAGGGTTCTATCTATTCTTCAAGCATCTCATTTCGAGTCTATAATTCTCTTATTTGATTTACTAAAGGGGGAAGTTGTTTTTCCTAAATAGAAAGCACTACACTAAATCTATCTCTAAATATTTAACCTTCCGTGTATGCATTACAGATCCATGTTACCTGTATTTTTAAAAGTCATTTTCTGCAAACCAAAGGAAACCATACGTTAACTTGTTAAAGGTGAACATTACGGGATCCCAACACACAATTTGATTACAGCCAACGATATATGAGCAAGATTTGGTTGTTTGGATTAATTTCTTTGTTTTTTTTTGGTTTCTGCTCGGTGTCCAGGACTTCGCCTCGACTACTCTGGATTCGACCAGCTGTGGCGCACCAGAATGGTGGGTGGGTCTCCCAACGAAAGCTACTACGTACACAAGGTCTCGAACTCAAAATCTTACTTAAGTTGAAACAAGCCATTTATCACTTGATCCAACCCCTCGTTGATTGGATTAATTTTTTTGTGGTAATGATATAACTATCATCTTTTTATATAAATTTTATTTACATTATTTATATATTATTTATAAATACATATAATATTATAAATTTTAATAAAATAAAAATAAATAATTATTAAATAATACATAAAGTTATATAAAAAAAATATAGTCTGTTAATCATTTTCTCATTTGTTGGTGGTATTACTAACATGGGGAAGTTGTGGGGTCGGTTAACCCTCAACCGACTATTTGCCAGCTCAAAACTACTGAACTATAGTTTATTCAAATTCGCGCGTAAGCATAAATGGCAAGTGGTTGTGAGTGCGATTATTACAGGCTATAAGTGGTATGGAAAAGTGGTATGGGGCACGCTAATTTTCTTTGCCATTGGAGTTCCACCTAACATGGTCATCTAATTTCTCCATGCTCCAGCTAATCCTCTCAAAATGGAAATCCTACTAAACCAGGGAATTGACAAAAGATTAATTAATATTTGCGGCTAATCCATTTCTGCTCCATAACGGGTGAATACTTACTTCAAATTACTAGGATCCAAAACGATTGCCATCCACTTCTCCATCCATTAGCTCTCACCCTGTGAAATGACCCGGGTACCTACGTCAAAGCCTACCATGGCCTAACAATTCCTCAACTAAAATTATTGCAAGCAATAAAAAAAACTCAACTCAAATTTTTAGTAGTGGTTGATTGTAACGCACTTTTATATCAATAATAATCATTCTTTACTTGTAATGTAATGAGTTTTGAAGCATCACAATTTCTTAATTTAAAAACTTAATATTTTTAATAAGTTAAATTACAGTTACCAATAGACTCACAATAAAACTCATCACAAATGATATGAGATTCATGTTACCAATATCTATGATGGTCAACCCGAACCTACGAGTACAAGATGACACACTACAATACCAGATGAAATATTGAAGTCCACTTGTAATTCAAAAAATTTAACTTAAATTTTTAATAGTGGTTGATTATAACAGTCACGTACTAATTACATTCACAGTTCATTCGCAATAGGAATTTGAGGCATCACAGCCTGTTTTTTGGGAATTGATAAGAGACTTGGGGAGGGGTTATAATGCAATGGACCATATCAGATTTTCCTATGGGTGGAGATTGATGGGTGTTTGATATGATGTGGCTAAAAGAGGCACAGATCAAGATGGCACTTCTCCAGCCTGGCCCCAAACTCTGTTTTCCCTTTGTGGACAAATTCACTTTCTCTTTGGCTGCTCTACTTTAATATTGCAGAAAGAAAGATCTATATTTGTCTCCAGATAGCCATGAATGGAACCTTCCCTGGATGTGAACTGAAATTCGTCATCAACTCCACTATTGGCTCAGATAATTATCTTCTTTCAGTTCAAAAACAAGGGAACAATCAAAGCTCAATCGCAACAGGACGGAACATAACAAAACAGAACAGCTGTGCCCGGTTCAAATTGTTCTGTAATAAGCCAATGTGATGAGTTTGGTCTTCTGCATCCCTTCAATTAATTATTAAAAATAAATGCAAGTTGGTCCCTTAGTTAGAAATCCATGGTTAAAAAATATAAAAAATTGATTAGGTTTCCAAATTGATTTGGACTCTATTTAGAAGTGTAGTCAACAAAAACTTCCTATAAAACAAGTAACGTGTAACATGAGTATTTTTGTTGTTATTTAATTATTTATTTTAGTTATAGTAAAGGTATTTCGAATTAACTATTACGTATTTTAGAATTAATTTTTTTAAGATAATTTTAATAATATATCTTTATATTGATTTGATATATTTTAAAAAATAAATTTTCTTATTTATTAATTTTAAGAGTTACCTCTTATACCTAGCTTTAACTACGACACTTATTTTCCAACCTTAGAGTTGTGTAATATAATTGGTTGTTGGAAATTACCTTTAAGCTGAAAAAGGGAAAAGGTTGTGCTTCTGCTAAATTTCCTAAACGACTTTGACACTGTGTACACAACACTATCTCAGTGGAAGATCATGGATGTTGTCATGATATAAAACATATAACAAAACTTTAGACAGAAGGTATGAGCTGACTATA